GAGTTGAATCAATAGCAATGGCAATACTTTGGAGCGACGCTCAGGTGGCGCCATCTGTTGTCTTGGGTTGAAGCATAAGCAATGGCATTTCTTAGAAAAGGTAGAATTTCCTTTGACTGAAACTATTTTGTAGCATACTTTCTATTTGGCATAAATACAATGAAAGATTTTGTATTGACACATATGCATAAACAATTTAATTGGAACTCGAACTCTACATGGAAAGGTTTCCAATTTCTTGTCTTATCCACTACGCCATAGAGCTCGATACAAAAAACAGAATGATGCTTTGGTTGCATATTCTGGTTTACAGCGGGAATTAATTCCGTTATAATTCAATATATACAAATATAGTCCAAAACCTGCTCTATCAGGTACAAAGTCTACTAGCTTTGAAAGAGGTACGTAAAATAAGAACTTGGTTAAATATGAATAAAATATAACAACCTGGCTAAATCGTAAAAAGAAAAGAAATAATTAAATAATGTATACATACTCTACTACTTACAATGTAGAAGGCCTGTGGTCAGGCACTGTTTATGTGGTCACGTTGCCTAAAGCAGCGAATCTAATGTCATGAAAGGGCGTGGCTAGCTAACTACTGCACTAAATGAAAAGATATATGCACAAAATTCAAAATAATGACGTGAAATATTCAGAAATTTCCATGTACACTATTTACATGGTGAAGAAATGTTCTTTTAAGAACAGCAATAAAATGGCTGTTACTTTTCAGGCTACTGGACCGGATATTGCCTGGCTGAGCCGTGGCATATGAAGTCCAGCATGTCAAAAATCACAATAAAATAAACAACCTTAAAATTATTTGGTAGTCAGTTTCGGTGCCTTAATTAACGAAAAAAAAGAGTTAATTAAGTTCGACGACCATAGGAGGCTATCTGCACGCTCATTGGTTGGTCTAATTTGTTTGTAGTAGGTGGGCGGTGAATGGACGTAAAAGCTTGTCTTCGCTCAGGATTTCGTAGGAGAGCACTTCGGCGAAGTTCGCTAGGTTGCTTAGCAAAGCTCTTGCGAAGAAATTATTATTAATCCTATTAATAAAATCGTGAATTTGTTCAAGTTTCAGGTCGAAATGAAGACTTTTATTTCGGACGTATTACGGAGCATCAGTGACTGTGCGAAGAAACTTATTTTGCACTACCTGAATTTTCTTAATATCCTTATCTTTTGGCATGGCCCAGGTAGGCGAGGCATACGTTAGGATCGGTCGGATGATGCTTTGTCGAAAAAGTTTTTGTTCATTTTATGGGGTTATTTTTCAACGGTATCCAGTTTAAGGTCTCTGTGAAGAGTGTCATTTGACACATAAAAATGTGCGTTTGTAATAAGTCTCATAAACTTGTTCTGTAGTACTTGCAATTTATAAAGATCTTTAGTAGTAACTGTAGCCCAAGCAGGGAATGTATAGGAAAAAATTGGCTTGATAATGGTATAAAGATGTCTTTTTTGAGAAAGGTTCAATTTCTCTAACACTCGTAAATTTATGCGATCTGAGCTTTGTTTAAGAGTGGTGGTGGTAATAGTAGTACTTTGTACTGGTGCTACTAAAAGGTGTTCAATTTTTGTTTAGATGGTACGCGTTAGTCAAGAGGTTAAGAACCGTTGTGCTAGACACTTGGAAGTTATCAGTCAATCTGTGGTATATAAGACTTTCGATGATTTTACTGATTGAAGACAAAAGGCTGATGGGCCAGTAGCTTGCTGAATTATCATGTGATTCCCCGGCTTAGGGATCAGAAAAATTTTCGCACATTTCCATGCATGGGGTTCGTACGTTTCCAACTTAGCTAAGTAATTTAGTTGCATGCAAGCATTGAAGATGCTTGTCAGTTTGCAGGTCATTTTAAATGGAAATCTTTTTAGCATCCGATCAGAGTCGTAGCTAGGGTTTTCAGCGCCCAAGGGACAACTGAAGATTTCGCGCCCCCTACTGCTTGCCAAGGATGGAAAACATTTAATTCTAAAATGTTGTAACATCAGTTTGGCGCCCTTTGTATTCTGCGCCCGGGAACAGATGCCCCCCTTGCCCCCCTCTAGCTACGCCCCTGCATCCGATTACTGATGCTATCACTGCCTGGAGCCTTTTTTGGTCTCAGCGCCCTAATGATTTCGTTTACTTCATGAGGCGTAGCAAAGTTCTTGATTTTCGAAGCACTGGATGCGTTTAACCAGGAATTTACAAATTCCATGACTTTCTTGTCCGAGTCCGAATTTGTAGGAAACGTGTTTGGCCTGAATTGCCCAGCAAGATGTTCAGCGAAAAGTTCGGCTTTCTGGTCCTCTGTGTAAGCAAAACTGCTTGCGTTACAGATAGGTTTGCTACATGAGCTGGAGTTTTCCAAATTTTTCACAAGTTTTTAGATGTTATTATTGTTGAGGTTTCTTCGTTTTTGTGATTGCAGACTGCAGTTCTGTGCTATTGAATTTTTTGCTTGATGCGGCGGTTGAGGCGATTTATTTCCGTCTTTACTGTCGGATCCCGTGTCCGATTAAAAATCTTTCGGAGCCTGCTGCAGGAAGCAATGATGACTCTGATGCTTTCTGGGAGTTGATGTTCACTCAGGAAAGCCTGGGAGCTGATATTACCTCTTTGGTGGCACTTACTTTCGCATGGTTTAAAAAGTGACTTTATTACAGCACAATCGTTCTCTTCAGGGGTTTAAAAATTCCAATTTTAAAATTTGAAATCACGAGGAACGGGAACGGTATAAAGAGCAGGGTACCTGGGCCGAAGGTCCTACCCCTTATCGAATAAAATTATGACTTTTCTAATACATATGCAAAAAAATTAACTGCAACTATTTGTGAGCAATTTTGAATTTTGTATAAAGTTAGTAGAAACATAATCTAACAAGATTAAAAAGAATATGCCAAAAAGTAAGTGGGTTGATAACAAAGTTTGTGAGAGGGGCGAAGAGATTCAATAGACATACAAAATAAGAATCTGGGTGAAAGCCGTGCAAACTGATGACTAAAGTTACTGTAAAGTAAAATACATTGAATATAAAATATAACATAATTAAGTGTGAGTGTTTCGGCAAGAATGGAGTATTTTAAAGCAATAACATTGGCAATAATGTAGGAGGAGCAATCATCAGGGGAATTATATATAATTATTATTTAAAGTTTAGAGTTCAACCTGCATTTTAACACTTCTGTATGAAAGACTGGAGTAGTAGTAACTACGCAACAGAAGGGTTAAAGTACCCTTTATTAGCTCTTTAAAATTTACAATGCGTCCATTCGACGCTAACAAACTTCGCCTCTGCTTGAGCGATAACTGAAAATCAAGTAACGAAATTAAAATTTGAAGATATCAACTGTGATAGAACTAACCTACAGGGCTCAGCGAGATCCCTTTACTTAAACCCCCTTCGAAACTAGTGGCAGCAAGTAAATGAATTAAGCCTAAGCAAACGTATCTACGGCAGAGGTGGCGGTTATAGCCTAACTCTCTTTTCTCCTACCGAAAATCTGCTTTTAAATATATTCTTCAAAGCAAAAATTTACATTCATTCACGCGTGCTACAAAATTTAAATATTCTCTAGCTTTCTGGGGACTAGCTTTCTCTTTATTTAAATATTATTTTCCCTGACAATTAGGGGAATAAAGTCTTATAGGAAAGTTTAAACTTGAACTTTAACTTGTTAGTTAAAACAAATATAAATTCCTACAGTTGCCCATTCCAGAATTTAGCTTACTTGGATAAAGGTTCTTTACAAACTGCCTTTACAAACTTTTCCGAAATATACTCGGAACTTCTGAACTGCCAATAACACTGCTAATGTTTCTCGCTCAGTCACTGTATAATTACCTTGTGTGGTGTTTAAAGTTTTACTAAAAAATGTCAGGGGATGCCGATTTTGCATTAACACTGCGCCCACGGCCTAATCTGAAGCATCGGCCGCAATCTCCAAGTCATCATCTCCTTTAGGAAACTTTAACACCGGTGCATTAATTAAAGCTGTTTTCAATTGTTCAAAGGCTCTGTTTGCCTCAGCTGTCCACGTAAACTTTGATTTCTTGTATTTTAACACTAGCAAAGGTTCAACAATATTAGCGAAGTTTTGAATAAAAGAACGATAATAAGAGCACAAGCCAAAAAAAGATGACAGCTTCTTTGCCGTATTTGGTGGAGGATAATTTTTAATAGCTATAATTTTAGAGTCCTGCGTTTCGATACCCTTATTTGAAATTTTGTACTCTAATTCTTTCGTTCCGAACTTACATTTTGATGCATTTACGTTTAACTCCGCTTCCTTTTAAACTTCGTGGAGGCCTTTTATATATTCGTCAATGCTATCACTTTTTATAATGATATGCATGCTCGTGAGAAAATTTTGAAAATTGGTTTGGCTGTATTCCGAGAGTAGAATTAGTCTTGCTTGTCTCTTTTTTTTTTTTTTTTTTTTTTTTTTTTTTTTTTTGTTAAGAACTGAGAGATGCTATGTGCGTTATTACTTGTGCGTTTGATGTAAAATGTGAATAAAAGCAATACTTTGTGAAAAGTTAATGTGTATTTACAAATTTAAAAATATAGCTCATGTTATTCTTAAACCTGCATAAGTGTCCCAGTTTATTTCCTGCAAATAGAGTTGACTAATAACATTCATAAGTGGATGGAAGCGAACCGACAAAGATGAATTAATCAAAGGATTCGATTTTTTATGACAACTTCATTTAAATTTGCATTCTGTCAGGAATTTGAAATCATAAGGGAAAGGAAAGTTTCTTAAAATAAAAATAATTGATTAAAACAAAATAAGGTCTTTAGGATAAAACAACCTGTCGATGAAAACAGATCTATACTAGCTATCAAAGAAGACTTTTTTCCCTTCATGATGGTTGCAATTTAACTCATTTTATTTCATTAAATATGCTAAATTTAAATATTTTAAATTTCTTACTTCTAATTGTGTATCAGAAAAGAGAGGCATATTGTTTCCGAATCTTAACAAGCTCTCATTTTTTTATTTAGCCCCAGATGTAGAAAATGCTTATGGTCTGGATTTTCTGAAGGTAATTCCTTTAAGAGTTTACTTTGGTGGAACAAGAGAAGGTGTGGATAAAGGATTGTCGGAAGAACAGTTTGAAATCATCAGTTTTCAGCCATTCATTTCTCCGGATATTCAGCCATTTGTGGTAATTTTTTATTCAAACTTTATCAGTAGCAGTCCTGAGTTATTTTGAAAATTAATCTTGTTAAATTAGTGATGTTACAGATTTAAAAAAAATTAAATGTTTCAGATTTTTAACAGTCTCCCAAAAAGGTTTGTTAAGGTTTTCTATGCTCTCGTTGAGCTCGCAGGCTACCAGTTTACTGCTACGCTCACTCTTACTAACCCCCCTTTTGTTGTTTTTTTAGCTTTATTGACAAGCACCTTTTTTTTTTCCCACATACACATACACAGTTCAACAGCGAAACTGCAAAAATTTTAAAAGCGGCGTAGCAGTATACATTTAGAATTGAAGGACTTGCAGCAAGGAGGGCCCAGCTCCACATTGGTATATTCTCTGTTCATGGGTCTTTTATGTTAAAAAAATATCCATATTTGTATTGGAGTAAAAAAGCCATTGGAGTAGCGGTAAAATATCATTTTTACTAGCACTTTGAATGAGGACAAACGAGAAATGAGAGCATAAGTTAAAAGATGAATTTTTGAATTTTTTTCCCCGAAAATTTAAAAATATGGAGCTGGACCCTTTAATTGCCGATACAGTATTAAGTTGTTTGGTATACAGTTTTCTGTTTTGGTTTTTTTTTTTTTTTTTTTTTTTTTTTTTTTCAGTCTTTTCTCAGTTCATCATATCAACGTTCAGTTTTCTTACTCAGATAGCTTTACAAAAATCATTTTTTGTCCTTTTATTATTAATGTTTTGTGCGCTTAGTTCATTTATTAAATATCAGGTTCTTGGCGCTGATGCCACATAAAATTCACTTCAACATCAAAATTACAAAATATTTAAAAACAGCATATGTTTAGAATTTCCGATAGACAGTCTCGCACGCTGCAGATAAAACTGTTTTATTCCGTACACTGCTCGCTTTGAAATCGTTGAGTTTCTCAATCAAAAAGTCTGCAAAATATGAATGCTAAAGATTATATTACATCAAAATTTTACAAAATATGAAATAGATAATAAAACCAATTCGAAATTAAAAATTCGGTCGTGGAGGACTACGATACTCAGAATTGGATGGCTGTACGTACCGTTGTTTTTTTCACATTGCGAGAAGCATGCATACATTCATGTATATTCTTCATTATTTAATATCTTTAAATATAATACAGGGCGATAACATTTGATGGTAACAATCTGAAAAGTGACACAACGGCATTTAAGTATTTCGACCTAAAATGCCGTTTCGAGTCTAATATCACATTCGGGACTAACGTCTCTTTTGAGCCAATAAATCAGTTATGTACTGTCTGGTGGCCATCTTTTTTCCTTTCTAAGACGAGCATATATGAATATCATCAATAATTATATCATTGGTTAAGATAGCCGTTCCCTAACCCACCAAGATCGTGTATTATATGAGCTAACACAATGTTTAATTTTGTATCAAACTGAAATACTTTACATACTTAAAAAAGGAATTACATTTTCACTGATATACTGGTGTTTTTCACTGATATAACTGGAGGATCGGACATGATGGTTCTGTTAACTGTACACCGCAGTCATTTTATATCACCCCTTTTTCCTCATATAAATTCTATGCTACACACAAAAAACGATATTCATAATTTTAAAACACTTCAGTCTGCGTTATCGTAAAATAATCTTCTTAGTTTTTGTACCAAAATAACTAGAAATCGTCCAAGTTTTGACGGTTGGTTATCTTGACGTTCTCAGACACTTTGATGATGCCACCAGCCTAACTTTCCATGAAAGTTATGACCGTGCAAAAAAAAAAAAAAAAAAAAAAAAAAGCAATAGGCTTGTTGTGTTACTCACATTTGCTCAATGTTATTGTTAGCGAACTTATCAGGCACAGCCACCTGTTGCAAAATGATCACGTGCTGCCATTGCTAGATTCCATACATGGTCTAACTTAGTGAAAGAAAACAAAATACCGCTTAGATATCTGCAGGGTTACCAAGAGAGAACGTAATGAAATTTGGTTAGGTTAAGTTAATCGATTTAAAATAAAATAAATTGAAAGTACATGGAAAGGGATTGCTTCGTGAAGGACTTTCTAAGGGAAACTGGCTCGTACCTACGTTATTCCCTGGAAGGGAAAAACGACGAGATCTTGCTTTTATCTAAACAAAAAATAACTTAATATTCATGCTAGTAAAGGCATTAACTTTAAGGTTCCTCATAAGACAGTTAAAATTAAATGTTGCATTAATTAATTAAATGTAGGATAACTGTAAAACCTTCACGTTATGACAAGTTTCTTTTTGTATAATTTGTACATTGTTGTTTAGGCTTCTTGGTTAAGTACATTGTACTTTGATTTATGTTCCACTCACTGTACATCAATAGGTGGGAGGAGATGTGACGAGTAACTCGTAGCTTGTGTAAACGCATTTTTTCCCCTTAAAGTTATTTTGGTACTTTTCCGTTTTGCCGGCACAAGCGATAAAGTCGCCAATAATGGTACAACCGATGCCAACGGAATATTCTCGCTGGTAACCTTTTACGCTTCATTCAGATAGTTCAGTTTTATGTCTAAGGCCATTTTCGGCAATTAAATCAATTAGGATGCAATCACAACGCTTACCCGAAGCCGAAAATATAGAAAAGGTAAAGTCAAGGGTTAAATTCATCCATTCTAATGAGAATGCATTAGCGAAGTAAAGCACTGCAGTTTTACGTAATTTCTGAGTAAGCTATTCGTACGAATTGAAGTATTTCTTGCATTTAAACTTGTGTTCCAAATTAAGATTTAACTTGAAATTGATGTAGATAATTACTGAGAGCATTATATTTTTGTAGAGTAGTATACGTGAGATGAGATCGCTTGGGGTCACGTGATATGAAACAGGATGTTGAACCATGAAAGCATAGTAAATTCTTAAATTAATGTCTTTTTATAAATTTATTGTCTTTATTTATTGTCTTTTTATAAAATTGTAAGCGATATTAAAATGTTTATGCCTTCAAAAAAAGAATTCTTAGGACTAACATTTTTTTAATATTTTTTGTGTGTATAATGTATGTTGTCGCCAATAATGTCTGCTTGGCGAGATTTGCGCCGGCGAAACGGAAAAGTACCGTTATTTTTCATGCTTTGGCAACATTGTATATTTAGGTTTGTATTTAGAATATTAAAAAAAAAATGGCGGAAATGAGCCATGCTTTTGTACTAAGGTGGACTGCCTGTTTTATTTTGATTACTTAGGTGAATTACATGCTTTATTTCGATTACTTATTCCTTTTTGGTAAAATATTAGTATACGGTACGGCCTCGGCGTGATTTGGAAAATTCTCGCCAACATCAAAATCATTCGTTTACTTCTCATCATAAATATCATGCTAACTGCTCATCATAAGTCGCCAAATCCCGTGTGTATCGTATACTAGGATTAAACCTTCCTTTTTTCACTTGCTTTTACTAGAGACCGACTGAATGAATGAAACTCCTAGTGCACGGTACTGCCTTGGCGTGATCTGGAAAATTGTCGCCAACGACAAAATGACTTGCCAAATCTCGTGTGTGCCGTATACTAAGATTAAACCTTCATTTTTTACTTGTTTTTACTGGAGAACTGAATGAATGAAATGCAGATTGAATCTCGCAGTACACTCTTTATATAATTTCTCCCATCTGCATTTCCGTTTCTAGATTTAATTATTACTTTGTCCACTCATTATTCAAACTACTGTTTTGTGCATTCATTATCCCACATGATTTTATTAAACTGAAATATCTCTAATGAAAACTACAATATAAAACTGTTTATACATAGTTTTTTTAACTATTTTCAGCGCGAATTCGTCCAGTTTCCGCCCTTTGTTATTAAAACAGCATGCTCATTTATTATCAGGGTATATTTAATTGTAATTTTACATGAATAAAACAAAAAGGAATATGTTTTTTAAACTAGGATTTTAAAGCCGTTACGTTGTCCAGAACTTCATTTTATTTCATTTTAGCTTATTAAGAGAAAGTGTTTTCGTTTTCTTTTAAATGTTTTTATGTTTGAGATATATCTTCTCCTTACAAATATATTTTTGTATAGTTGCCGAAGGGTAGAGGTTGCAAACGATCAAATGTGCAAGATCCTCCGGAACGTCCCAATTTCGCAGACAAAAACATAATGTTTTCTGCTGAAGTTATATATCGAGTAATTGACAGAAATGAACAAGATGTAAATGTATGGAGTTACTACAGCACTCTCACTGTAAGTGAAGTATTCAGTTTTTTTCTAATCCTACAATAATGTGAAATTATTTATTCTGTACCCTGTGTCTATTAAAGTCCTTACTTAGTCCGTGGATCGTAAACGTATTCTTCCAACCCTAAAAATGTCTTAAAATGGCGAATGTATACATATTTTCTTATTTTTAAAATTTAAAAATCAGTTTCGTAAAAAATATGAAATTAAATTTTTTATGAGGCTTCCTGGTCTTTACAGTTACATGTAGTAATTATTAAAAAATAGCTTAACACCCGAATACTATCCTAAAAAAACTTACGTCATTGCTGTCGTTGTATCTTTGAGATACATGATATAAATTCTACAATATATCTATTTTTTAAATTAGTATCTTAAACAAAGGTAATAAAGAAATAGAAGAAACATTCTTTAACATTTTAATAGCCGAAAGCTTACAAAATAGCAAATGGAAAAGAAAATATAACTAAATACATTATAAAAGCAAATAAATAACTACGATTTTGTTTCACTCTTTAAGAAACGTGCTAAAATAATAAACACCTAAGAAAAATTAACTCTAGCAAACTATTTCACATTCTTCTTTGTTCTCCGACATTCTATGCATTCCATCAGTACAAATCCATCAGTGCCTCTAGCTTTTCGTCAATTGTATTATCACATCCAAAAACAGTAGCAATCTCAGCAGTTGTTTACAAATTTTTCAAAGAAATTACGAATATGTGCTTTTTTAAACGCTCAACTACTCTTCTTTGTAGTCTATTTTCCTTATCACCAAACCTCAGAGTTTGTAGTAAGAATCTAATTCCATCAGTACAAATCCATCAGTGCCTCTAGCTTTTCGTCAATTGTATTATCACATTCAAAAACAGTAGCAATCTCAGCAGTTGTTTACAAATTTTTCAAAGAAATTACGAATATGTGCTTTTTTAAACGCTCAACTACTCTTCTTTGTAGTCTATTTTCCTTATCACCAAACCTCAGAGTTTGTAGTAAGAATCTAAACCTAAAGAGGGACATGGTCAAACGGAAGATTTCTATGCCAAACCCATCTTTATCCCGCAGATCTTCAAGCCTGATTTTTTCCAGCTTTGTAGCGTCCTGTCAAATATAAAAGGTCTATGAAGGCATATATTTCAGTACTATCAGTATGGTATGCAAACTTAGGCTGTGAATAACTTGGACTTATGTTGTCAATATGCTGATTTGTATACCTAACAGTCATAGCTATCATGCCATCATCAATGAGACACTTCCAAGTATCCAAAACTTTAGCAATCTTTCCTATCACACCTAGAAGCCGCTTGATTAAATTATGCTTCGAAGTTCTCTTCTGTTGATTGTAAGGAGGGATTTTTTTCCCCAAGTAAATGAGTCTATAACCTTTTTCGACAGCTTTCGGTGACCCAAACGTAGAAATCCGCCTCTTCTTCTTCATCAGAACTAACATCTGTGCTGCTCTGCTCTGTTTCCGCGTCTTCATCTCAATCTTCATTTCCCTCTGAAGCATCAGTGTTACATTCTTCCTTTTCTAAATCATAAGATGAAACTCCAGGTTGAACTTCATCATCACGTATGCCATCAAATAAAATCTGGTGGATTCTTGCTATATCATCTGGATTATTCAAGTCCGGAAATTGTTTTCGATGTCATTTTGCATCTGTAACGGCAAAAAATAAATGCGTATTCTACTAAAGTAATATCCAGTGACATCAAAAAATAATGAAACAAATCGAAGGACAAAGTAAAAAAAAACCCACGTAATTGCTAACCTTGTATATCTGAGATACCATATGCCAGTATTTTTAAGAGAACATAATTTCTGGCAAAATGGCAAAATTAATGATGGACTAGATTATCTAAATGCTAAATAATTGGAAAAAAATACAAATAAAAACAAAAATATAGATGATCAAAAATACTTACAAATTTGCTGTCGTCGTATCTGAGAGATACACGAGCCACTACAGGAGATGACCTTCACTTCACAAGGATCAACATTACACTGATGTTTGACTTTCTGCAGGTTATGAATGTAAAGGCGAGGATGGACCCGTCACCTTACGGCTGCACTTGTAGTTAGAAAAAAAAAGTCAGTGTGTATCTCACAGATATAAGGATAGCATACGAGTGTTAAATAGGTTTGACTTCCGTCAGCAAAATTTGACTGAAATATTTAATTTAAAAGTTTGAGACCATTTTCAGGGATCCTCTACAAATTGAAGGGGGAAATATTTAAATTAATACAAAGTAACATCAGTTGAAAAAAAAAAAAAGATTTCAGATGTTAATAGATTAAGCCATGAGCATTACTATGCAAAATGCCGCAAAAACATTTTGACCAATATAAGTTTTACTTGTTCTGATGATCTTACTCACGAAATCTTACAGAATTCGTGTTCTAGAAAACTATGGTAGGCTTTAGTTTTGGTATATAATCAATTCATAACATTATTTGCTTTAATTAAAAGAGAAGAAAATTTCTAATTCAGTGACCGTTTTTGTATTATAGTAAATATATTTTTGTATACCTATAGACTATATATGCACTGTTTTTCCTTGTGCCGTGACAACCTTCTCACCGTAAAATTTAAAAAGTCTATGTTTACGAAAGTATTTTTACTTCCTTGTACGAAATAAAGGAAGTATTCACGAAAAATTCCGGGTATACTATTTCAAAGAAAATATCCCTTTTGGCCGCTATCGAATGCTGTTCAATTATGTTTTTTCTAAGCATCTGTACATAAGGACAGAATAAAGGACGTTTTCCACAAATGAATTATAAAACTGATTTAAAATGGATTCAGAAGAGATTTTTTCGTAGCTTCTGTACGTACGTACATCGCAAAACTCAAAAACGAGTAACCCCAGAACGTTGAAATTTTGTATATAGGACTGTATAACATGTAGTTGTGCCCTCTCCCATTTTGGTTGCGATCGGCCGCACCTGTCTGTTTCGGCGAAACGCGTAATGGAGTTAGCTTGGTTCGACGTTTAACTTGAAATTTCCCTTGAAAAGCTAGGTTGGAAGTCGAATTGAGCTAATTTACCGTTTTCCGCTTTATAATTTTATATAATTTTTATGTTTTTTTCATATGTTTTTTATTTGTTTTATTTGTTTTAACTTGTTCCATCGATCGGTTTTTATATGTTTTTACTTTTCACTTATCACATCGATAGGTATTTTGCAGTATTTTTTGCAATTGACCTGTTTCCAACGATTAGTATTTTACTGTGTTTTATATTATACATTTTATTTCGCGTGTAGTCTAAGTTTTCACCCTTCAATGTCATTGTTTTTTAAAAAATACTGTGTTGAACTTTTTCTTGGAGCCACAGCTCCTGGTAACTTTTTGGCGAGCTAACTACAATTTATCTTCTTCTCTTTTTTTTAATTTTGCAGCATATTGCGCAAAAAGTTTTTAGACCAAATTGGTCTTTTTTATATAGTACTTACTACCTAGCTTTTTAAATAAATATATATATATACCCACTCTGTTACTCGGCTCCGTGAGCTCATTTTTTTTTTATTCTTATATGTTGATAAATTGTGCATTTTCTCCTTTAAAAATGATTGAATTATATTATTCTGATCTTCCGATTAAGGTTTTTATGCCTTTAATTAATCTGCGTGCAAACGTTGTAGAATTACCGATAATTAAAAGTTATTTCATTGCGTCTTAATCTATTTCTTTTTACCGTAAGCAGCCATATTTATTTACATTTGAAACTTAGCAGAATAGTGAATTAAGTCTTTTTGCACCTTCAGTGTCCTTTTGCCAAGTGGGGCCAAACGTAAACTTTCAGTTTTGTGCACCGATAAATCTGCCTTCTTGCTTGCTGGCTAAATAGCTTGTTTTTGCTTAGAAATTTAATTGTGAAAACTGTTTCAACCGTATTTGATGTTTTATGTTTTTCTATAACTGAATGATATCTGTATGAAGATATTTTGAGTTTTTATGTATTTTTGTCTTGCCGCGAAGTGAGAACCGAATTAATTGAATGAGAAATCTGTCTCTAATGAAATTCCTGGAAATAAGTTTGAATGAAATGCAGGAAAGAATGCGCATAATTTAATATCCGTACAATGAAGTCATGTTGTGTACATGTTACTGTGAAAGACCGAAATTGGAGAATGTCGACTTTCACCGGAGAATATCAACATTCACCAAATACGTCGGTGAAAAACCGAATATTTCTCTACATTCTTGTATATTCGGACCCTCACCGGTGGCGTAATGGCAGACCGCACATTGAGTTGAACAGTGTTAAGCGAATTTCGCTTACTGCGCATGCTTGATGGTGTACCTTTGGCGCGGGGAGAAATATTGGCGACTAAGCAACCCTTCGTTAGCTTATTCGTGATCTTCATGGCTGTCTAGTGTGTTCGAGTGATTTTTAAAATTGCAATGTTGTGGAACTTTGCTTATTAGTTATTTTAAAGTCCATGCCGATTGCACTTGCTTATTTTTATAATATATGTTTCATTTTAATGTGTCAATAACAGTGCATTTAATATTTGTTAACATATGTTCGTAATAATTCGTTATTTAAATGTAATTTGTTTACATGTTACAATTCAGTATTTGTAAACTGGAGCATCTCGCTTAGTTTGTTAGCGTATATTCGCGCTTTTATTTTCTCATTTCAAAGAATTTAATAAATAGCATTAAAGAATTGTAAAATTTCTTCAGTGTTATTTGCAAGCACTTGTTATATTCCTCAGTGTTTCTTTATGTATGTACGAATGGAACGTATGGTAAATCCTAAATTGTTTTTATTGCTTAAAAGTATAATGAATAAATTTTCAACTAATATATCCTAAATTTCAGTCTTTTTGCTGAACGAAAATTTGTACAGTTCCAAAGGAATGTGCAGAATTTCATAAGTATTATATTTTATATTTTGAATGTAAAACACTGCTTCACATTACTTCGCAATAATTTCGGCTTTCTAGTTGTTTGAGCAGTATAGCAAAAAATAGTATTTTAACACAGTAATTAATT